GATGAGGTGACCTTGGCAGTCTCTTCCAATGCCAGGTTTCTGGGTTTTCTCTTTTCTTCTGAACTTGGAGCTCCCTGATGGCAGGGCCTAAGTCTTCCTCATTTCTATACCCTATTCTATTAGAAACACATTGCCTTGATATCACTAAATATTTGTTGAAGAAGGGCAGGCAGAAGGAGTGGCATTCAGCAAAGGGAGTGGAGCTGATACAAAACAGCTGAGTGGAAGATTTGTCTGAAACCCATTGAAAATCACTCCTCCTCCATGTCCTCCCCTCCCCCAAGAAAACCATGAGGTACTTAAGCACAAGGCCTAACAGTACTTAGTGAATACTTTATCACTCTTTTTAAAGAGGAGGGGCCTGAGGTTCAGACATGTCGGTTCTCTGACTCTGAAGCCTGCATTCCTTCCATTCTTCCTGGAGACTTCCCAGAACTGGCCAAGCTAGACAATGACAGCATTGCTGGAGACAGAAGATCTTCTAAGGGCCCAGTTGTGCTTGAATACTCTTTCCTTTGCCCTCTGTTGGTGTCCAAAGGAGACCACCAGTTCATCCAGCAAAGCGTCTAGAGAGGAGTGTACTTCAGGCATGTCAGTAACCTCGACTGTGGTGGCCCACATGGATGACCGATTTCCCAAGTCTGCAGGAGACTGTAAGCACTTGAATGGCAGGCTGCTTCAGTTTTGCTTTTGCAGTGGCAGGATCTGGCACTGTGCATGTAGTGGGCATTTCATAAGTGCTTATTGAATCTAATCAAACTAGTGCTTTGCTTTTTTGCTTTTTTTTTTTTTTGGTGAGGCAATGGAGGTTAAGTGACTTACCCAGGGTCACACAGCTAGTTACTGTCAAGTGTCTGAGATCAGATTTGAACTCACGGCCTCCTGACTCCAAGGTCGGAGCTATATCTACTGCGCCACCTAGCTGCCCCAAAATTAGTGCTTTGGGCAAATGATTTCTTTTTTCTTTTTTCTTTTTTTTGGTTTTTGTTGTTTTTAGGCAATGGGGTTAAGTGACTTGCCCAGGGTCACACAGCTAGTAAGTGTTATATGTCTGAGGCTGGATTTGAACTCAGGTCATCCTGAATCCAGGGCCGGTGCTCTATCCACTGCGCCACCTTGCTGCCCCTTAGGCAAATGATTTCTTAATCTGGGCCCAAAGTCTATTTCTTTATTGGGTTCAAGCTCCCTTACAAAGCACAGTTCATGGAACATTGCACTTTTCCATGGGCTGGAGATGAGTAGGATGAATTTTGGAGACTCTCAAAATAGCAGGTTATTTATCAGTCACTTTGAAGTAGACAACCCAAGAAAAACTGTCACCTTATCTCTCTTCCATTTCCCTAATATTCACAGCTGTCCATCTGTGACATGCAGAATTCCCATTGGTCCCAGAACAATCTTGGAACCCACACAATGATCAATGCCCCCTTAGATGATGTTGAAGAGGAGGCAGCAAAGGGTGTCAATGGGAGAGAAAAAGGGATAGGGAGAAGATGAAAGGGGGTAACCTGATAGCCTCCTACAGGTTGATAGGCGAAATGAGGGGCATGGACTAGACCAGGGGTGGGGAACCTTCGGCCTTGAAGCCACATGTGGCCCTCTAGGTCCTCAAGTGTGGCCTTTTGACTGAATCACAACTTCACAGAACAAATTCTCTTAATAAAAGGATTTGTTCTGTAAAACTTGGACTCAGTCCTTTGGGAGAGGGCAATGACCAGTGAGTCAGGAAGACCTAGGTTAGAATTCCACCTCAGATACTAGCTGGAGGACTTGGGACAAATCACTCAACATCTGTTTCCTCATCTGTGTAATGAGGATGATGGTAGGACCTAGCTCAAAGGGTTGTGAAGATCAAATGAGATTTTATAGACATAGATATATGTATGTATAATATGTTGCAGACCTTAAGGCTTGATATTATTATCTTATCCCCCTATGGTACAATACTGTGAGCTCCACAAGAGGTGGGACAGCATTCTATGTGAATGCTGTATCTTCCCCAGGCCTCCCTAACCCAGGGTTTTCCCACATAGTAGGTTTTAAATAAAGATTCATTGTGATTTAGGAGTGATTCACTATGTGACTTCAGGCAAGTTCTCTTCCCTATTGAGATCCTTAGTTTTCTCATCTGTTAAAAAAAGGGGGTAGGGCTAGACTCTGACAATATAATCTCCAATGGGTTTCCCCTCAATCTAAACTGAGGCGTGTTCTCTTTCTCTTTCTCTTTCTCTTTCTCTTTCTCTTTCTCTTTCTCTTTCTCTTTCTCTTTCTCTTTCTTTCTCTGTCTCTCTGTCTCTCTGTCTCTCTGTCTCTCTCTGTCTCTCTGTCTCTCTGTCTCTCTGTCTCTCTGTCTCTCTGTCTCTCTGTCTCTCTGTCTCTCTCTGTCTCTCTCTGTCTCTCTCTGTCTCTCTCTGTCTCTCTCTGTCTCTCTCTGTCTCTCTCTGTCTCTCTCTCTCTCTGTCTCCCTCCCTCCCTCCCCCCTCTCTCCCCCCTCCCTCCCTCTCTCCCCCCTCCCCCCCTCTCTCCCTCTCCACACATATATAATATACACACACACACACACACACACACACACACACACACACACACACTCACATGTAATCAAATATCCTCCCCACCCCTGGTTGAACATAGCTCCAATCCAGAACAAAGCTCCCCACTCGGAATCATAAGCACCCACTTGACCACAGGCATAGCCATGATTCAGACACACAGCTACAGGCACAAATTCCAAAGAGCAGTGAGAGGTGGGGGAGGTGGGGATAGGGTGTCTAGCAGGATGGTTATCTGAGAGTGAAGAAGAGACGGGGGAGGGGAGGGTGAGTGGTCAGTGAAGCGCTTATTGAACGGAGTTGTAATTACAATCGCCAACCCTTTGGGGAATCTGGTGTTGAGATGATTAAAGTGAACAGACCCCCACCCACCCCCACCCCTCCCTGCCAATTTAGATTCATTGCCTGAAAGGGCTGTAATTCTTATACCTGGGGGCAGGGGATGATGCAGAAAGTCTAAACATGCCCTCCCCTTTGGGGAAACAAAGGTTTCTAGGTTACACATAATTGTATCATCATGTACCCAGATGAGACTTGGCACCATCCTTGTCATAGAGAGAGGGCAGGGAGGCTCCTTTTCTGGAAGGCTTTTAAAACACCTGTCTTCAATGGGTCTAGGTAGGAGCAGGTTTAAAGGCAGGGGGGTGGATTAAATGACATTTCAAGGTCATTTCTCACCACAGAAGCCAAGAAATGTACCCAGAACAACTAGCTTCTTTGAAAGTGCCCCCTGGAGGAGTGGAGTTCTTACCATTTGCTGGTGGCAATGTGGTCTTTGTTGTTAAAAGGAAAATGTTAGTAACAATAACAATAACTGACATTTAGATGGCACTTAAAGGTTTGCAAAGTGCTTCATATTTCTCATCTTAAATGAGCCTCCTCACAATTCTGTGAAATGGGCAATGTGGATATTCTGAACCCATTTTAGAAATGGGGAAACTGAGGCTTAGAAGGGTGAAGTGACTTGGCCAGGGTCATACAGCTAATTAGTGTCAGGAGGAAGGCTCTGAACTGAAGGCTTCCTGCCTCAAAGTTCAGTACTGTTTCCAAGTGGGTGTTTAAACCAGAGTTGAGCTTCATTTAGTCTGTACTACCCTGTTCTAGGGCAAACCACTCTAGGATCTCTGCCAAGAAAACCCCAAATGGGGTCGCAGAGTCAGACAATACTGAACAACAAAACCTCTGTTCTAAAGGTAATTCAGGAAGTTAGGGATGGAAAGCTCACCTCATCCCACCCTTTCATTTTGTACAAGAGACTGCTGAAGCACAGAGAGGGCAAAGAATTTGCCCAAGGTCACACAGCTAGAGAGTGATAAAGCTGAGAATGGAACCCAGGCCTCCTGAGATCCCCCCAGGGCTCTTTCCCTACCAGCCTGCCGCTTCTCTCCCCTGCCCCAGTATTCTAGTTCAACAGGTAGGAGTTTTTGTTTTCCCTTTAAAATTCCCCTGTGCCTGGCAGCCCACTGGGGCCCAGATCCTTCCTTGTCCCCTTCAGGAGGCTTTAAAGGCCCCGTTTGGCCTAGCTCCTGGCTTGTTGGGCTATTCTGGCCTACAGCCTGGCAAATAGTTATAGGTAGCCCAATGCTATAGGCTGTAGCATTTCTCACCTAGGTGTGTGGGGGAGTTGTGTGAAGGGGGGGGGGTTGAAGCCCTGGGAAGGATGTTGCGTGCCTCACTTTGATAGGTGTGGATGAAGTGCCCCTGATGTTCATTTTCTGTGTCATTGCACCCCTTTGAGATGAAATCTGGAGAGGCATGATTGTTAAGCCCTTCTCTGGAGCTGGGCAGAAAAGGAGAGGGGGAGGGAGGGATGAAGAAAGGGAAGGAGAGAGGCAGAAAGGGAGGAGGCTCTCACTTCTCATTACCAACCTTAGAACAGCCAAAGAAGGAGTACCATCTCTGTCCCTATAATAACATACACACACAGAGCTCTCTCTCCCTTCTTCCCTCCCATCTTCTCTCTCTCTCTCTCTCTCTTCTCTCTCTCTCTCTCTCTCTCTCTCTCTCTCTCTCTCTCTCTCTCTCTCTCTCTCTTTTCCCCCCTCCCCCTCTCCCTCTCCCTCCCTCCCTCTCTCCTTCTTCCTCTCTCTCTCCCTCCCTCTTCTTCCCTTCTCCCCCTCCCCCCTCCTCTCCCCCTCCCTCTCCCCCCACCCCCAATCATCCCGCCCTCCTCACTGCTGGTACCTTAAAGAATAAAACACTTTAGTCTCAACCGAATTGGGCACAGATCCTGACTGAGCCTGTGTTCCGAGCTCTGGAATAGCAGCAGCGTGCTCAAGCCGCTGGTGAATGCAAACCTAGCCAGCCAGCCAGATAGACAAGACAGACAGAGAAGGGGGAGGGAGGGAGGGAGAGGGAGAGGGAGAGAGAGAGGGAGAGAGAGAGAGAGAGAGAGAGAGAGAGAGAGAGAGAGAGAGAGAGAGAGAGAGAGAGAGAGAGAGAGAGAGAGAGAGAGAGAGAAAGTAGGAGAGAAAGAAAAGGAAGGAAGCCCAGCACCGCCAGCCCCCAAGCTCTAACTTGTTTCAGTCCCTTCATCTTTGTCTCTTCCTAGCTTCAGGGAAGTAACTGTGGAGACTGGTAAGACATACAAATGTTTCTTTCCCTTCTATCCCCCTAGTCCCTCCCCACTGCTCGAGCCCCCCCCCCCCCATGCTGATCCTCCTTTCCTTGTGCTGCCAGGCAGGGGCTGAGATGCGCTGCCCTCGGACGATGTTTCCCCCCCTTCTGGTGGGGTCAGCCCCCCCACTCCATGACAAATGGGAACAGGGGTGGGGGCTAGGGGAGCCCTGTCCGGGGATGCGGGGTGAAGGTCGGGGGCTTCAGGAAGACTGACTAGAACTGTTGGGTTCTTTGTTCGCTCTTCGTTCCAGTTTGGAAGCAGGTCAGACTTGACCTTGCAAATTGCTCCAGGAAACCTGGCAGCCACGGAATAAAGAAACAAAAAGCCCCCAGCCCCCTCGTGGACCAACTGTTCCCCTCCCCCCCCCCCCCCCCCCCCCCCCCCCCCGTGTAAGAGCTTCTCTGCCCTGCCCCGATCACCCAGGAGCTGGGGACTGGGAAGGAATGGTGAATGGCTGGTGTGTCTTTAACCCTTTCTCAGCAGCTACTCCACAAAGAGAAAATCCATCAGAGAAACAGGACCTCCTGCTTAACTGCACTTTCCCTCTGTTCCCTCCCTCCCTCCCTCCTTCCTTCCCTCCTCCCTTCCTCTCCCTCTCTCTCTGCCTGCTTGCCAGCTGCAAGTGTGCAGCGAAGTTGTAAATAACAGCTCCTGCCTGGGGACAGGAAGGAGCCCGCCCTGGTACCCAAGTGGGGATAGGGACGAGGGCCCAATTTAAACACCCTGGGAGCTGTTGAGCACGGTTGGCGGCTGGTCCTTAGACTGGGGACTGGACACTTGGGACAGGTAGTTGCGACCCTGAGACTGGCATGGGGATTTAGGCAGATTCCGAAACACTCCCTCCCCCTCTCCCCTCCCCACGGGGCTGGCTCCTTCCTTAGTCCCTCCTCCTTTAGCAATGTGGGGGAAACGCAGTGGCTGGGTGAGCTGTACCCTTTGGAAGGGGGACCAGAAACACCTGCTGGCTTGAGGGATTGACTTAGGGAGAGGCCCTTGCTCCTTCGGTTGTTCCGGAGTGGAGAAGTCAGGTAGGACTGTGAGTGGGAGGGACATGCTTCTTGGGTTCAGAGGTGATGGGGGGGGGGAAGTAGGGGGAATGCTAACTCTTCCTTCAAGAAACAAAGCAGCAGTTTGATCTGGGAGGGAGAGCTGAAAAAGGCAGAGGGTAGTAGGCTTGGGAAGAGGCTACTGTTCCCAGATGCAATCAGGGCGCCTTCTCCTTCCCTCCACCCAGCCTCCTTCCCTCTTTCCCTTCCTGTGTGGACTCAACTATGGCCTGATGATAGTAAAGAGTTATGTAGCTCATTCCCCTACCTCCCCTGGATCCCTAAAGTCTTGGGGTCAGGTTCATGATCTGGAGATATAGGGGACTGGAGAAGTTTTGTTTGCTTTCTTCCTTTGCACTTGGCTTCTGGGGATTGTGATAGTGGTTGTGCTTGAGGGGTATTGCATGAAAGGTGACTCTGTTCTTGGAAAGTGAACTTAGCTCGGCGCGCCCCTCCCCCCCCCCCCCCCGGCATCTTCTATGCCCTTCCCCTACGGGGGGAGGGGGGGAGGAGAGTTGAAAGTTGTTACTAACCAGAGGCCAGTGGGCTACTAGGTGAAAGGGTGACAGCAAGTCCTAGGCTCAGGCCTGGGGAGGTGGTATGGAGTAGAGCTTGGGACTGCCAGCCTTTGTGCAGACTTGTACAAGTGCTGCTCAGAGATGAAAACAGTGTGGAAGTCGGGCTTCTAGCTTCCTGAGCCAGCTTGTTGCAACACCTTCCCTCCCCCTGAACTGGAAAAATTGCCTCAAAGACACACACACACACACACACACACACACACACACACACACACACACACACACACACACACACACATGGTACATCACCCTGATGTTCCCTGATACCGGCTCAGTAGAGCAAAACTAACAGAGTAGGTCATTGTCTGGCTACTACTCTACTATTCCTTACTTCTAGAGAGCCCGAGACAGCCCATGACTGAAACAATGCATAAAGGACATGCGCTGCACCTTGGACAGCTCACTGTCAAAATTCAGCTGGGATGAGACAGAAAATGAAAGCATCTACCATTCTAGGGGACCATTGTACCTTTTAGAAGTAGTTTGAGCCCTAAGGCCAATTATTGGTAAGATGAGGGGATATTCAGCTTATGAAAGGAAAGAATTGAGGACTGGTAACCTGGAAAGGGGGGGTGCATTTATGATTCATCCCATGTATGGGGAAGAAAATGCCAGAGATTAACTTCTAGAGGAAAAGGGGGCTCAGTAACAACCTTTGTAATCAGACTCTTATGGTCTAGCCTCAGGGCTAGTGCTGGAAAAATACAGGAAAAATAATGTCTTGAGTGATTAGATCCCTCAATTAACCAGCACCTATTCCACCCTTCCCTCCTCTATCTTTTAAAGGAAGGGGCCAAATGACCCAGTTTATAGCAAGGATTCAGTGAAATCCCTGAACAGAGTAAAGGGCCTTTGTGTCCTGGGATCTGGGTATAGTCAACCCAATTTCCTGAATTTTCCCCATTTTCACTTTCCATTCAGAAAAGTGGGAAAGGAATAGATGAACAAAATGGTAGATCTGTCAGCTCCTCCTTTCCTCATCATCTCACCAACCCACTCATTTTTTCAGAGGAGGAAACTGAGCCCCAGAGGTGAGGAAGGGGCTGGCATAAAATTCTGTGGCTCTGGCGTGGCAAAGCTAGGACCAGAGACCCAAGTCTGCTCTGCCTACTTCATCTTAGCTTGCCTCTGACCCTGAGGGGCCCTGCTCAGAAGCCTCCATCAGCAAGCAACCATTCAATCATTTTTGCTGGACTAGACTTAATGAAGAAGCCAGGGGAGGGAATTCAGGCATTCTCAAAAGGAGCCCAACAAACAGGGTTGAAACGAAAAGGGTTTCTGCTTTGCCTAAGTCAGCCAAAAATCCAACTGGCCCTCTATTTCCCAAGGAGCTTTAGTGGATGGAGGTGTGACTGGAAGGAGGAAAGTCTGTGCCCTTCAGGGGCGTCAAGCTACGGGAGAGAGTTTAAATGAAGTTCCCCTCCTTACAGATCTCCCCATCCCTTCATGGTAGAGTTAACCAGAATGTCCCCCTGGAATTCAAATGTGGGCCACTTGATTCTGCCTATATTTCCCCACTACAATTGTCCCAATGGGCTCATGGATTTGCCCTTTCTGATCTGAGCTGTGAGAGATTCACCATACCAGGAAATAATAATAGCCTACATTTATCCTCACGATAGCCTTTCAAAGGTAGGTGCTATTGCTATATGTATTTTACAGATGATGAAGCTTTGGCTCAGAATGGGCAAATGACTTGCTCACAGTCATATAGCTAGTCAGTGTCAGAAACTTCAGGTCTTCCTGGCTTCAAGACTCTGTCCAGCACATTTCCCTTTAAAATGGAGTTATAATTCTAAAGGGAAATATGTAGTCATCCTGATATTGCTGTAGTGTTTTAAGGATTTCAAAGTGCTTTACAGACATTATCTCATTTGAAGCTCATGATAACCTTGAGAGGGATGTATTATAAGTAATATTGTCTTCATTTTAAAATGAGGAAACTGAGTCTCAGAGAGGCAAAGTGACTTGTCCATGGCTACACAGAGAGTAGGTGGTAGTATGTAAGCTACAAACACAAGTCCTCTTGCCTCCAAGCCCAGCATTCTTTCCATCTTACCATGCTGCTCTGAAGAGGGAGGACTGGTAGCTTCAACAAATGGTAAACTCCATAAGGGCAGGGACCATGTCAATGGGCACTTCTGAGTCTACTGAAAACTCTCTGTTGGGTTTCAATTTAATATAGAAAATACCATCCTAAAATCCAACGAAGGTTTCCAGTGCTTATTTAACCTATCAGTCAAATACTGTGACAGGTATCTGAGCTCTGACCAAGGTGCTGAATTTGGGAGTACCTTCTAGTGGCCTCTGGGAAGAATTGGAGGTTTTTGCCTATCGGATAGCCTAAAAGGCTCAGAGCTAGTGGTCGGAAGCTTTTGGGGGGAAAAGCCAGACTTGGTATGTTCTAAGGTCTGTGGTAAACCTGTAAAATGTGTGATACTTCTCCAATCGTCCATGTTCCTAGATTCACTAATGGAAGCAGGGAGAAAATGGTGCCTGATTACTGTAAATTAGAGACAAAATGAATGCCCACTCAAGAATCTTAAACAGAATTGTTTGCAGTGCATATTTCTGGAGGATAATGGTATTAGCTGGAGGAGAATACTGATAAATAAAGGGGAAATGTAATCTACAATTGATCACAACCATTTTAAAGGCACTGATGTCTCCACACTGTACATCTCACCTTACACAGCCCAGAGAGGAGAAAAGCTCTTGATGATATATTTTCCCAACATTTATATTTATCTCTGAGAGTCAGTGTGATATAATGAAAAATGTTCTGGACTTGTAGTCATAGGACCTGTATTCAAATTCTGCTGCTGTGACACATTCCGGTTGTGTGACTCTGGATGTGTAATTTCACTTTTCTGAACCTGAATCAACTTTAAAAAAATATCTACTAAGTTATAGACAAGTTGAGATCTGAGGAGGTAGAGGGAGTTCTGTAGCAGGGATCCTTCATTTTTATGTGTTGTAGAATTCTTTGGCAGTCTGGGGATGCCTGTGGACCTCTTTTCAGAATCATGTATAAAATAAAATACATTTGATTATGAAGAAAACCAATTATTTTGAAATAGTTATCATAATATTAAAAAACCCAAGTTCATGGACCCCAGATTAAAAACCCCTGTTTTATACTAGAGAAACCACTGATCTTGACATGGTATTTATTTCTCAACTGAAAAGGGTGATATACTGGAAGGCATAAGATATGGCATAGAGGTTCATGTGGTATCTATGACCTCCTGAAATGGACGCCTCTCCAGATTATAGGAGGGTCCTTTGAGGTCACCCAATACAATCCTGGTCACCATGTAGGAATCTTCTCTA